ATATTTGACCTGTTTTGCTTGTGGAACGTGTCTCCAGGATCGTTCCCGTCTCACAGTCTGAGTCCTCATCCTAAATCCCTGGTTTAGACACCGCACCAAAGGAATCATGGGAACATCAGGGAGTAAATCAGTTGTAAACCGCTCTGGCTGGTCATTCATCACACAGATACCTGATGTGAACCACAGCAGAGAAAACCTGAACCTGGTCCTGACCTCACCTCTTAAAGGGCCGGTTCACCCCAAACTACAAAACCCTACATTCTGTCTTTATCCCAGTGGAGGTCAGAGGTCAGGTGTGTGGAGGTCAGTTGTCAGGCAGACACCAGTTTGAAATATTACCTCAACCAAGGAGCTCATGTCTTCACCTGTGTGTGTCTGTTTGCTTGTCTGCCTGCCTGTCTGCCTGCCTGTCTGTCTGTCTGCCTGTCTGCCTGCCTGTCTGCCTGTCTGTCTGCCTGTTTATCTGTCTGTTCGTTTGTCTGTCTGCTTGTCCTTCCGTTTGTTGTAAAAAGTCCAGAACCAGACATGGTGGAGGGATGGGTCCTGGACCAGGTTCTGGTTTCTGGTTCTGGTTAATGATCTCTGACCTGGTCCAGGTCCGGATAGTGATCCAGATCTGACAGACCTGTGCAGGTCGAGGTTCTTCTTCTTCTAAAGAGTAAAGACGGCGGACTCTGAACACGGCCTCCTTCCTGTCGTTAAACTTCCTATTTCTCCGCCTCAGGTGTGTGAAGCCGTACCGTCTGGTGTGTTACATCGTCTCCGTGGGGATGGAGGGAATCTGCTGCCTCTTCACGCCGCTGCTTCGCTCCTTCCCGCTCCTTGTGCCCTTCGCCGTCCTCTACGGATACTTTGACGGCGCCTACGTCGCTCTGATCCCTGTGGTGACGTCGGACGTGGTGGGAGCTCCGTACCTGTCCTCGGCACTGGGTGTGGTCTACTTCCTTCACGCCATCCCCTACCTCATCAGCCCGCCCATTGGAGGTGAGCGAAACACTTCGTCCATCATGGCACCCACCAATCACCTGATTAATGACTAATGTATCCTGTCGCTCTCGTTTGTTATTTATGATAAAAAAACTGAATATTTTTCCCTTTTGCATCATTTTTATTATATTATTATCAAAGTTGGGATCTGATCCAATATTATTATTGATACTAACTCATTGAATAAATATTGGACTGACATCAAGATCCATGTTTGTTAAAGGCGTTGCCATAGCGACATGCATTCCTACACCTGTTTGTATTGGAGCCATCTCAAACTACAGATCAGATAAAATGAGAATCCATTTAAATTAAATCCATTTTTAATGATTGTTTTTCTGTTTTAAGAACTTCTGTGTTTTTTGTGTTTATTACAGCCTCATGTGAATTTTCACATAACAACAAGACTAATTATAATGATAATAAAAATAATAATGATCAGAAGAAGAAAAATCAGCTACTCTCACTCACTCTCACAAGATTTCAAACCTTTTTTTCTTTAAACTTAAAAATAAACAGAGAAATAAAGTTTTAAAATGTTGAAAGTGTAATTTCCTCTCTTGCTGTTGGTTGAATACAATGAGAAATTTTTCATAATTAAAAGAATTAGCAGATTGCTCATTAGTGGGAGCCTGATTTCTTTGTTCACTTGAAACAGGTGAGCTTGGTCCTGAAGAGGTTGTAACTGACTTTATTTGATCAATTGTTGAAGCTTCAGATAAACATTGGGACTTGATTTTAGAGAGTAGAGTTGATCCTTTTTCACAATAAAAGCTCATTATGAAGAGTGGATCATGTGTGTATGAACAGAACAGTGACTCAGCTGACTGGACATGCCGTTGGTCTCAGTCTAGACCCTGGTGGATCAGCAGGTTAGCGTTAGCCTCAGCAGGAGATAACAGTCTCCAGCTGCTCTGATGAAATAAGTCACAGTGCGGTCAGCTCATTGGTCAATCAGTGTTAGCCACACGTTAGCAGGATGTTGGACATGAGAGCAAAGGGCAGAGCTGATTAACTACAGCCGGAGGAGGTTTCTCCTTCATGTCTGCTTTACCTCAAACAGCCTGTGGATGTGAAAGGTTTTAACAGCTGACACGACTCCCCAAGACAAAACAGATCCCTCTCGTAAACATCTGGCCCCTTCAGTCACATTTTTTTTTATCATTGAAGAAATATCAAAGTACAGCCATTTGTTTCCCATTAAGATGCTGAAAAACTTCTTCATGCTTTTATTTTGAATGGATCAGATTACTGCTCTTTCACAGCAGTCCACTGAAAGACTCCTGTTTATACTGAACTGTGCTGCTGGACTGCTAACGTCACCTGTTAACATCACATGCTAACATCACATGCTGACGTCACATGCTAACTCCACAAGCTAACATCACCTGTTAACATCACATGCTAACATCACCTGTTAACATCACATGCTAAAATCACATGCTGACGTCACATGCTAACACCACAAGCTAGCATCACCCGCTAACGTCACCTGTTAACATCACATGCTGACGTCACATGTTAACATCACAAGCTAACATCACATGCTGACGTCACATGCTAACATCACCCGCTAACATCACCTGTTAACAGCACAAGCTAACGTCACCTGCTAACTTTATATGCTAACGTCACCTGCTGACATCATCTGCTAACATCACCTGCACTTTAGAGAACCCGGTTGCGTTTTTATGCAACTTAACACAAAGATTTTTGTACCTGACAAAAACATGACATCATCACATCACCTGATCTCTTCTCTGGTTGGCAGGTTGGCTGGTTGATGTCACAGGAAGTTATACGGCCACCTTCTTCCTCAGTGGCACTGCCCTGCTGGCAAGTGCGCTCATCCTCTCCACCGTGGTCGGGATTCGTAGGTGCTGCCACCGCCACTATGTGACCGCTGTCGCCAATGAAACCAAGGACACCAAGCATGAGGCCCTCCCCCTCAGCCTGTCTAACAAATCACACTGCTTCATTGCCTTCAACAAGGAGCCGGTCAGTCAGGTCATTGCCTCGTAGCCTCAGAGGAAACGACCAATTAAATTCAATGACACCAAAGATGACTGGAGGCGTGGGCTGTGATTGGACGAGCCAGGCACCAATCAAATGAAAGCCAGTGGAAGGTTTTCAAAGCAAGAATCAAAAAGACTGACAAAACTTTATGGTTTTATTTTGTAGCAACAGGAAAGAAGCCTCTGTCACGTAACTGTGACGTCTGGACAATCCCCCAATTAGACAGGACGATAAAGAGAAGGATAAGTGGAAGATGCTAATGCTAGCAGACATGCTAACTGGCAGCTGCTCGTACCTTCAGGCAGGAAAAAAACATTCAAACAAACAAACAAAAAAGTACTTACATGTTGATGTCACTGCTGCGACCGAGAGCTGAAACTTTAAAGTGCCAGTTTGGATCCGAGGTGGTTTGAGTCGCTCACTGGTCGAGCTACAGTAACAATGAGTGGACGTCTGTACGGAGTCACACTGAGGCCAAAAGTCTGAACACGAAGAGGTTGATTTAAAAACTCCAACGTTTCCACAGATTAAAACTGTGACGTCATGAGATCAGTGAGACTTTAAAATGATGATTTCCTGACCGATGGTCGGACCCTGAACGCTCCGCTCTGATTTCACAAGTATAGAGTAAGAAACAAAAAAAAAAAAGGAAAAAAGACAATCACATGATGCTTTTAGATTGAGTCAGCTTTAAGACAGTTATTGATCTATCAGACAGTTATTGATATCTATAGTTGTTATTGATATCTATGGTTGTTATTGATCTCTCAGGCAGCTATTGATCTCTCAGTGAGTTTTATTAACAAGTCGATCAGAGTTAGATTTTTGCTGCTGCAGGAAGTTGAACTCTTGTTACCAAAGTGTTTTTATGTTTCCAGTGAAGGTCAGAGGAACAAAGACGTCTTCACTTTTTTAACTCAATAGACGAAAAAAAAAAATCATTAGATGGATTTTAAATAAAAGTTGAGGAGTGTTGACACTCAGTAGGTGGAGGGAAATCATCACCAGTCACAAACATTTACCCTGACTGAGCTTCCTGTTCATGTCAAAATAAGAGTCTGGTGCTGGTGTGAAAGACCTGAGTGACAAAAGCTGCTGTTCTTCATTAGAATATTTACACAAAATTAAATGTCACTGTTTTCTTTTGTTTGTTACCGACCTCCATCATTTCACAAATACATGATGACGATTGTTTTATTGATGATGATTAATTAAAGGAACATTCTGTCAGAGCCGATGTCTCCTGTTTGTGTTTATGTCCTCCACGACTTTAACTAGAACTGAATAGAGATGAAGCAGTTTAACATGAACTCAAGTTTTTACAGTCATTAAAACAGTTTTCATTATCATAACACCACAATACACATCAGATCTGAAAGCAGAGTAAAATATTGTATTCAAATTCTTTTAAATATAAGAAATGAGTAAAACACTCTGCGGAGGCAGAGAATTTAAAGTTTCTACCTGTTAAAACTTTCAGAATAAATATATAAACAAAACTGACTTGATTTAATAATCTGCTTTTACTGATCAATTAAAAACGTGTATCGATAAACCACGTTTCATCTGATCCTTGTTTTGTGTATGTGAAGTGTTTGTGGTGTGTCAGTGTGTTTGGCCCTTCTCAGCCACCGTAGGAAGAGCAGAGCAGGAGGCAGGGAATCGTCTTTATTTTTTTTTTTTATAAAGTGAAAAAGTTTCATCAGCGTTTTATTTTGACCACAGCAATAAAAAAACTACTGAAATCACAAATTGCCCAGTTACTAAAGAACAAACTTCTTCTTCAAAAGACTTCTTCAGAAGTCTGAGGGTTAAAAACATCTTACAGCGTAGTGTCGTCGCAGGGTGATGACATCACTTCCTGCAGGTTTTGGAGCGCAGCTGTCTCTTGATGGTGACATGGTCGCTCTCCTTCTCCTCCTCTGCTCCTTCAGACGTCTGCACACAAAAAAACAAATATCAGACAAACACTGATCAGTTTCCTCCACAGATTATCGTTGTCGTTGTTGTCATCATCATCATCATCATCATAGGACACAGACGTGACGTGACCACACACACCTGCAGATCTGAGGATGTGTGTGTTCAGACATCATCACTTCCCATCATGCTTCACTGTGATTGGCTCAGACCTTCAGCAGGGGATGAGCATTGAGATAAAAAATGGCCGCCGGTCTCACCATGTGTGGAGAGTCCAGCAGTGGAGTCGAGGCATCCGTCTTGTAAAGCTTCTTGCGTCCTCGTCGAGGTTTGGTTGCCACGGTAACAGTCTCCTTCTCCACTGATTGTCCGCTGACCAGACCAAGGATGGTTTTAGCTGCAGGGGGGGGGGGGATTAAAACTTCATTCAAATAAACATCAACTGCACAGCTTTTCTTCCCACAATCCTCTGCTCCATCAAATCTGTTCCACTTTTATAAATCTCCATTTAATCCTCAGGTTTCACTCTAAGCTGCATGCCGACAGAGAGCCGACAGAGAGAGAGGGGGAATCATGTCTTCATCACAATCAGTTGAGAAAACGTTTCTGTAAATAACAAACAGGAAATGTTTTTTCTATCACTCACATTGATACTACACCTGTCCATAAACACCTGAGTCACAGCTCCACCTGTCACTCACCTTTGCAGCCCAGGATCGAGGGTGAACTGTGGATCAGCTCTCCAATCTTCTGCAGAGTCCCGTCTCTCTTCTCCTTCACCACAGAAGAAGAAACAGATGTTTAACCTCAGCTCTCTGTTCACCTTCATCATCACCTTCAGTTGTTTTCACTGTCTCACCTGTTTGTTGCTCCGAGTGTTTCCTCTCACTTTGTTTCTCTTATTTTCACTGAATACCAGGTCCTGACACACACACACACACACACACACACACACACACGTCATGTATGACATCACTGGGTCACATGATGTGGAGATCAGACAACATTTGTTTTCACTGCGGAAGACCAAACATTTTCAAACTAGACTGAAAGCTGTTCCCATGACAAATACTGGTCCTACCGACACACACACACACACACACCTGCACCTCGCAGCTCTTCCTCTTCCTCCCGGTGGTTTTGGGGGTTTTCTTCTTGTCAGCCATGCTGGACCTCAGAGGAGAGACGTGAATGTCCTGCTCAGGAGAGAGGACAGACACACTCACCTGTGTGTCCTTCTCTCTCTCCTCCTTCAGCCTCTGTAGTCTCTCCATCTCTCTCTTCACTGCCTCAAACTCTCTGCTCCTCCTCGTGCTCCCCCCCCCCACCTGCTCCTTTGGTCGTCTCCCCCTCCTCTCCTGGAATCTCTGGATCTCCTCCTTCAGCTCCTCCACCATCAACACCTTCCTCTCCTCCTCTCTGTTCTCCTTCTCCTCCTCCTCCTCCCTCCTCTGCAGCGCCTCCTTCAGACGCTCCAGCTCTGACAGAGGAGACAATCATCATCATCATCATCATCCTCCTCCTCCTCCTCCTCCTCCTCCTCCTGAGTAAACATGTTGGTGTTACCTCGTCTCAGAGTCTCCATCTGTCTGTGAGTCTCTGCTACAAGTGTCTCCTTCTCCGTCAGGACTCGCTGCAGCTCTGACACAAAGACACAAACATGAAATGGCTGAAGTCTCGTTTCCCTCCATAAACAAATCAAGTCGCTGCCATTAAACCACCACAGAAGAAGAGGTCATTAAAAAGTTCCTTAAAATAAAAACAGCTGATCAGAATTCCTTAAGTTACAATTTCCTCATCTTGCTCTCCTTCACGTCTTTGACCTCATGACTTTTTTCCATAGATTTATTTTAGATTCTGTTTCTATTCTTATTTTATTTCTTTATGACCGTCCCCTCTGCTGCTGAGTCAACTTGAGTTTCCTCTACGAGGGATCAATAATGTTCATCTTATCTTAAACTACATTAACTGTGTGTTTCGGTCTCCTGTTTTCAGCACAGCCCGTAAACGCATCATCATCTCATCAAGTATCTGGGTCCAACAAGCAGCTGTTCCAGATGTGGAGTGGTGTCTATGTCAGATAGAGGAGACCAAACACAGATTGAGGTCATCACAGCACATCTGGAACAGCTGGATGTGGAGGTAAACAACTGTTTGATCACATGTTCAGAAGGGGACGAAAGATTTTCCACCTTAATGAAACTCATTATTACAGATGGTCTTTGAACTAGTCTCGTGGTAAATGAGTTAACTGGTTATTTAATCAATTACAGATAGTTAACTAGTTAGTTAAACTGGTTAACTACATAGTAAACTAGTTAATGTCTGAACAGCTCCTCCTCCTCCTCACCTTGTTTCTCTCTCTCCTCCTCTCTCCTCCTCTCCTCCTTTGATCGTTCTATCTCCTCCAGTCTCTCTTGCAGAGCTCCGCCCTCAGACTCAAGCTCCGCCCTCAGGTGGGAGAATTCCGCTTTCTGATTGGCTAACTCCTCTGTGAGCTCAACACACCTGTTCTCACTGCAGGAAGACAGGAGACAAGGACAGAGGAGTCAAGGAGAGGAGGAGAGTTTGATAGAG